TTAATTCATTCATTCATTTTTCTTCCTGCCAGAAGTTCACCTGATGCAGTAGAAAATGCTTAGACTCTAGATGTAGATGGACAGCATGATGTGATTAAAAAAACAAAACAAAACAAAACAAAACAAAAACACAAAAAACACTTGTCTTCTGCATTCAGAGAGCCCAAATTCACATCCTAGCCTTTGCCCCTTACTGGTTGTGTGACCTCATGGCAAGTTGCTTTGTTGGTAAAATCTAAGCTAGACTGGTGATGGAAGAGAGGATGCTTCAGCTTCCTCATGTGAAAAATGGGGTAATAATAGTATCTACCACATATGATTGCTGTCTGGGATAAGAGAGAATGAACATACAGTTTTTAGCACAGTGTCTGGTGCAGAGTTTGGGCCCCAAAACATCAGCTTTTGTTAACTCCTATCTTCAGTATTTTTATCTTGAAGGAAGATCATAACACTTATGTTTCAGAAACTGTTGCAAAGAAAAAGGAAAAAAAAAGATGGAAAGTTCCTGACTCAAAGATACTGCATTTGTCCATGTAGACTGCTATAACAAATAGGCCCCAAATTTCAGAGGCTTAAGAATTATTTATTGAATGTGTATTATGAATGTGAATTATTATTTATTGAATGAGTTTTATGTGGGTAAATGGAGAGACAGGGGAGGGAGGGTCTCTATTCTGTGAAGTCATTCAGGGACTCAGGTTCTTTCTGTCTGACAGTCTTGGAGTCCTCCACTGGATTTACTGAATTCAGCCCAAGATGAAGGAAGAGAAAGAGCATGGAGGACTGAGCAAGAAGTGTTATGGGTCAGGCCTGAAGGCAGCACATATTGCCTCTGCCCACGTAATAGTGAGAACTCAGTCACATGGTTGCACCTACCTGCCAGAGATGCTGACAAATGTACACTATCTGTGTGTACCAGACAGGGAAAATGGTTCGGTGGACAGCTTGCCAGGCTCTGTTCAATGAATGGTACCCACTATTGTGATTACTAATAATACACCAGGGTGATTCTCATGGTGTCCTAAGGCCCACTTGGTGGGATGGACAACCTTAATTACACAGTCTTTACTCCTGAGAACCAGAGAGTAGGGCCAATTCTCACTTCATTCCTAGGATGACAGGGTATCTTTGGCCCCTTGTGATCCATCCTTGACCATATGACAGGACTGAAGATCTCAAGAGTGGCAGTCAGGGGCAGAAAGGACATGCCTTTGAGAGTTATCTGAAGGGCATTCCATTGTTAATGGTAAATTAAATATTCAGAAAATGTCTTTCTCTTCCTTTCTCTTCCATATCTGTATTGTGCCAAATGACTCATTTCAGAACTTAATGGCTTAAGACACAGGACTCACTTTAGTATTCTTCCTCATAGTGTCTGTGGGCAGGAATTCAAGAGTACTTCAGCTAGGTGATCTGGCTCAGGATTTCTCATAAGTCCTACCCAGATGGTGGCTGGAGCTAAAATCTCAAAGGTGTTTGCACTTACGTGCCTGACCTCCAGGCTGGAAAGAATCAAACAGCCAGGGTGGAACCACCAGGGCTCCTTCAGCACCTCTCTGTCTCTCTCTGTATTCTCTTTCTGGTCTTCTTACGTGGCCTTAACCAGTGGCGACTCTAGGTCTCCTGGTCTTCCAACGTGACAGCTGAGGACTCTCATGCAAGTGCTCTGAAAGACAGCCAGGCAGTCACTTCTTACCTCTTTTAAGCCAGCCTCAGAAATTCCACATCATTCCTACCCCAGGCTTGTCTAAGCAGTCATGAGGCCCGCTCAGGTTCAAGGGAGAGGGACACAGACTGTACATGTCCATGACAGGTTTGTCAAAGAAACAACTTGCAGACATGTTTTCCTGCCACCCCACGTCCCTACCCCTCATCTACAACCATAGTGGCTTCCCATCTCATGAGCAGGCTTGCAGCTGGTTTGGAACTTGTGCTAGGTAGGCTAAGATATACTAATTCCCTCAAAGGCCGAAGCTGAAGGCTAAGAAATCTGGCTAAAGTTCC